CCTCAGCAGCCGTCCGCCCAGGACTACTACATACCTCAGCCGGCCCTACCCTTCTCACCTCAGCATCAGTCCGCCCAGAACTACTATATACCTCAGCCGCTCGAGCCTCAGCAAGGTGAGATTTTTAAATTAACAATTTTTTTTTTCGGTCCAATTTATGATTTCTTTTTTCCAATTGAATTACACAGATGATGATGACCAGACTTTTCAAATTGACACGCTTCTCACACCTCAACCTCAAATTGTATATGCTCAGAGGGGGTCCAGACAGTGCAGACATCCGAATCCATACACCCCTAATTAGTTAGTTGTGATGAATTCGTGGATTTTGTGTTTCATTTTCAAATGTTGGATTGTATGTACAAACTGAATTATATCGTTTTGTATATATTGTTTGTTTAACAAATTATTGTGTTTTTTCATTTGATTCGTTATAGTGTATGTTGGATTATTATTGGGCGGATATGTTGATATTAGTTGCTCGAACAGGTATATTTGATTTTTGGGTAAAAATTTAATTTTAACAATTTTTTTTTTCAATTTTTTTGTTCTAAAAACGTATTAACAAATACGTTTTACTTTTAAATTAAAATTTAAAATATGAAAAAAATTTAAAACGTATTTCATAAATACGTTTTTATGATTAAAAAAAACGAAACCTTAAACGTATATATGAAATACGTTCTTATGTTTTAAAAAATTAAAAAAATAAAATAAAATGTATTTAGGAAATACGTTTCGATAATTAAAAACAATTCAAAAAAAAAAAAAATTGAAACATATTTAGGAAATACGTTTTCCTGTTGATTAATTTACTTAATTAAGATAATTAACTAAAACGTATTCAACGAATACGTTTTTGTTTGAAAAATTATTTAAGCCGTATTCAAGGAATAAGGTTTTCAAATAATTTATTTAAAAAATATATTCCTTCAATACGTGCTTTTTATTTTCTTCCGCATCTTTTTTTTTTGTCCACTTATTTATTATTTATTTTTTTAAGTAAAAAATTCTATTTTTCATAGTACAATTATTCTACTAAAATATAGCGTAGTGGAGCGAGAATCTAGGTTCTTAGCGATATCATGGGGCTCGTCCTTCACGGTGACGGCGGACGCCAACAAAATCGAAAGAAAATGTCTCCCATGGTCAACTTCTGGTCATTATAAATAAATTTTTAAAGACAAATATTTATCTCCAATTTTGGTCTTTACCTTACGCTCCTCCTGACGAGAAGTAATGAGTTAACCCCTCTCAAGATGCCTTGCAGAGTTGGCAAAAAAGACCTTTTATTTTTTTATGTATTAGTTGTCTATGCTAATCTTTTTATCACATAAGAGCGCATGTATTAGATGGCTTGAGTCTCTTCCAGCTTAACTAGTGGTCTCGTGTTCGAGCCTTGGGAATGCAGTAGTGTTAAAACTCTTGAGGGAGAGTTTTGCCGCCCTTGTGTTCCTACCCGGCTCGATTCCAGATTAGTCGGTTCCCCTGTGGATCCGGAAACCGGAAGGTCCCTGTACCAAAAAAAAAAAATCTCTTTATCACACACGAATAATGATCCCTACCCACGGTAGTTACAAGTTAATATGTCTACTGTTTATGTGACATGCATATATTGGTGATGTTAACATATTTAAAAGAATATATTAACAATGGTAATACTGTCCACATATTAATATATGTTTCCGGTGAGTCTCACACACTCGTACAAAGTGTGTGTATGTATAAAATATTTCTCTCTGTCCCATAATCTCTAGTTTACTCAGCTGCGAATCTCACTCACCTAATCGTTTCTCTCTCTCTCTCTCTCTCTCTCAAGCTTGGTATGGTACCCTTTCTCTCTCACTCTCTCACTCATTATTGCTTTTCATAGATTCACCAGCATTTAATTCGATTTCTGTCAAGAAAAAAATTTGGTGAATCCCATTTTCTTTCGTGAACCAACGACGATGCCGTTGGTGAGAGCGGAGGTGAGGAATGAGTATGCTCTCGGAGCGCCGGAGTTGTACCGAGAGGTGATGAACAAGGAAGATCCCAAGGAGGTTCTTCAAGGAGTCGCCGTCGCTGGACTCGTCGGAGTCTTACGTCAGCTTGGGGACCTTGCTGAGTAATTTTCTTCTTGCTAATTTTTCTTTAACAAGACGATTTTGTAGCTTTCTAGTTCCAGTTTTCTGTAGTTATGATTTGGTACATTGTTTGTAGTTTAGAACACGATTTGGTTTTACTTCCAGATTTTGTACCCTATGTTCTGGTTTTAGAGGTTGTTTGAGTTTGTAGAGAGAAGAAGAGTTTAATCTGAAATTTCTGCTAAAATTAGTGGCATGTACCGTGCTAGTTGATTTTGCTTGATGGGTTAATCTTTGACTTGAAGAGATGGAACCCTTTTGAAAGGTTTATTTAAAACTAAGAAGTCAAGTTTCCTTGAAAGGAATCTAGATGCTCAGAGGTCAAATCCTTGGTTTTGTACATTTATTCCTATCTTTGCTAACACATATTTGAAAAGAAGCTTGGGAATTAATGGGGTATGCTTCTTAAAATGGAGAAGATAATGTGTGGCAGGCTATTTTCGTCGTGATCGACATTTCTAAACAATTGCATTTTAAGCTGAAAATAGCTCTGCATGTGGTAGGTTCGCAGCAGAAATATTTCACAGCTTACAGGAGGAAGTCACAAGAACATCTTCTCGAAGCCATAAGTTGATGGCTCGTGTTAAACGGATTGAAACTTCACTTTCTCCGCTGGAGAAGGCTTTGCTGGCACAAAGGAGCCACTTGCATTTTGCATATACTCTTGGTATGACTAAATTCTTGACTTCCTCTTCTGTAGTAATCAGTTCCATCTTTTAGGTCCTTACTAGAAAACTCTGTTGCAGGTTCTAATTGCCACCCATACATCCCGTGTGAACAAAATCATTTTATATACAGTGACATGCCTCAATTTATTATGGACTCGTATGAAGATAGCCGTGGCCCTCCTTGCTTGCACTTGCTAGATAAGTATGGATACCGTTCTTAAAGTATGTACCCTGACTTTGTTCTCAGTCTGCAGATAACTGTTTGTGCTTTCCTTTTTAGGTTCGACCCTGCTGGCCCTGGATCTTGCTTGAAAAGGTATTCCGACCCAACTTTCTTTAGAAGAGCATCAGAGGCATCCGGTGACGCTATTTGCTATAAAACTTCAAAAGATAAGAAGGGTCGTAAGATTAAGGTAACATCTTTTATGATTACGACATTATGTTGGAGGATTGATGTGCATGGCTTACTGTTGTAATCAATTGATTCCTCCACTAATAGGAATGATTACACCAGGAATACCTTTAATCTCGTCTAGATATGGAATTTATCTTGCTCAGAAAGTTTAAAGAACACAAGACTGCACTGATGGAACCAAACCTTCAGTGTCAAATTGTTAAAACTGATATACGAAATATATTGGGATGTAAGTGACTCCTAATATCATAGTTTAGACATGCAGAGGTAGTGAGTGTATTGTGTACATGCTCTTTGTTAGACTAGTCCCAAAATAATTAAGTGCGGGGAAAAATGCCAATAGCCAAGAACAATGTCCATCTTTAGTATCCAGTAGCCAAGAACAATGTCCATCTTTAGTATCTTCGCAAGATATACTCATAAGTGTTTTGAGATGAAGTGGATATCCAATATAGTATTAGAGTTTTGGGAAGTCCTACCATCTAATTATTGTACTTTCTGGGTACTGTGTTAAGATACTTTAAGTGCGCTTGGCTTTTAGAGTTTGTACCTCAAGGTGCGGATTAGAGAAATTAATTCAACAAAATCTCATGTCTAGTCGTTTGCACTTTTGGTCTATCATGTCATGTCATTGCACTTATGGTCTATCATGTCATGTCATTGGTATTACTATTGTTCAGTGCAAACGTCGGTTAATTTTGTATATCTAGGAAAATAGAGCCTAAGAGGGACAGATCTAGAGTTTAGGCTTTCATTCAGACCGTATAAATTTATTGCCAACTCTAAGACGACTTACATGGTCTACGGGATTGGACGAACGGGTAGCCACTTGACCTTGAGTTTTTGTTGTATTCTTCCCGACATCAGTTAAAAAGTCTTGGTGGGCAACGAATATGGAATCTGCTCTCACGAATCTCACGTTCGTTTGGCTTTTTGGGAAGAAGAAGAAGACGTTATGTTCTCCAGAAAACCAGTCTTTTTCTTTCTTTCCTAAACCTCATCTTTTGTCTCAAGATTTATCTCTTTCACGCACTCGCGGTTTTTCTTAGGAGAGGCGTGTGAATTATGTGACTGTTTGGTGTATTTATAGGCTATAACAACGACCTTAGGAAAGTATTACATAGGAACTCCCCATATCTTAGGTTCTGGTCCACCTACATCCAATTCTATGAATAATATTCCATTCCACTAAAGAAATATTATTAAACTTCCTACCAAGAAATATTATTAAACTTAATTATCCCCAAATTACATTTTGTCTCTAGATTTAACTACTCGACTATTTTCCCATGTTTATGATATAACGCCTATATTAATTTAATTACTTACAATTAACTAATTAACTTCGTATTGCGAAACTAATACCACTAAACCTTATTATTATACCGGAAATTAATCCACCTGCAGAGTTTAACATAATAACGTTTTGAGCTCATTTTGGGAATGTTATTTACTGGCGTAGCAGGACACAAACCATAAATAAATAATGTCAGACGTAAAATACATTACTGAACAGAACACCAAGGCTATCGATCTAATAAATAAATGTCACTCATTAGTGAATTAAATATGTAAATATAGAATACACGTGCATGGTATTATATAACGGATTTAAGAGTAAGAGTAATAACTGAGGTCTAGTTCATTTACGTGGTAATTACAAAGTGAATTTATCCTCAGTGGTCGTTCAATAAACTGTAACTGCACTAGTATAATTCATAAGTCAAGATCGACTAATTCCAAAATTATACTAACAACAATTCTCGATAGTTAGTTTATTTTTATCTAGGTTGTGAACCATATTTATATTTTATATGACATTGATAATATGATTTTATGCTAAACACGATGAACCATATTATCTAGAATACAAAATAAGTGAACTTGTTTGCATTTTACTTTTGACTAATTTCGATTCCCATTCAAAATTAGAAATTGGTTTAAACTAAAGCAATGTTTTCAGTATATGGACCAACAATCTCCACTTATACTCAAAGCTTTCGCTTTTTCGAGTTTACCTATTTTAACTAATTCAAAATTACACTACAGTCTTTGACGATAATTTGTTCGATTTAATTTAGGTTGTCTTTTCGAAGCAAAGTTCAGTCCTGGTGTAATTGTTTATTTTTCTTCAATTCAAATCCAAAAATTTCTTCTTACTTATACATTACTTGTACGTAAGAACCATACTTTATAGTTTACAATAAACCGACAATATGATTTTTTGTTCAACACATCAAATGTAAAATAATAGAAGAGACATTTTCGACTAAACATGCTCTCATTAAAAAGTGCTAGAAATACATTTGTAAATAAAATCGAGCTTTTAGTATACAAATCAACGTTATGTGTATGAATAATATTCCAAAATATTATTGAACTTCCTATTTAATCCTACAATTTGGCTCCAAATTTATCTACTTGACTTATATCCCTATGTTCATCGTATAACGCATGTTAATTAATTTAATTAATCAACTTCTTATTTCCAAAATTAGTACAACTCAAACTTATTTTTATGGCACAAATTAATCCACCTGCTTGGTCTAGGATAATAAATATTTTGAGCTCATCTTGGGGACACCATTTACGTAAATAATTAACAGCACGCCATGAAAATGGCATTACTTACTGAAATACGAAGTTATCAATCTATTAAATAAATCTCTCATTGGTGAATCAAATAAGTAAATATTGACTACGCATGCTCATTATTATGTTACAAATTAAGAATATGTGTTAACTGAGGTCTAATTTACGTGGTCAATACGAAATGAACTTATCCTCAGGGTCGTTCAATACACCCTAAGACCCTAAGTGCACTAGTGTAATTCATTAGTCAAGATCGACTAATTGCAAAATTATACTACAACCGTTCTCATTCATCTCTTTCTAGGTTGTAAACCTTATTTATATTTTATAAGATACTCATAATATGATCTTCTGTTCAACACGGTGAACCCTATTATCTAAAATGTAAAGTAAGTGAACTTGTTCGCATTCGCATTTCATGCACACTTTTATCTAATATCGATTCTCATTCAAAATTGGAGATTGATTTAAACAGTATACGAACCAGCAATTATGAGGTGGGCAGCTCTATAGCTGAATCATGATAAACAGTTTCGGGAATGGTAATATTAGTGGTTAGTGTGGTCAACCAGATGATGATCTATCACGTCTTTCCATAGGTCACTCTTCTGATCGACTAACTTGGTAGTGGTTAGAACTGAGATAGTTGTTGATTGCTTTTTTTTTGTTATCCACTTGTACTAGGTGGACACAAGTCCAACAACTTGATGCATGGATATATAAAAGTAATTGTATGTTGTGACGTGTTTTCCATACTATAGTTTGCCTCATCAGTCATGCTAACATATGCTGACCCTTGAACAGAAAAGGTCATGGACTAGAAGTCAAGGAGTATCACGGGATGCGTCATTTGCTTATAGCAGTGGCAGGTACAATGCTATGAAATTTACATATGGGAAAAGAAAATTAAGGACAGTGAAATGGTGGAGAAATAGTAATGGACATTTGACATGTTTTTCTTTCTTTTTCTTTTTCCTTTTTTTCTTTATGGCCATCTGAATTTTGTTACGGTGAGGACTTACTTTGTGATGCTCGAGTATTACAGAATACGGTTTACTCAAACGACCATTGATGGGCATAGTTCATCTTCTCAAACAGCCTCAACATATGATGCTACACAAAGATCGGATTTGAACGAGCAAACAACTTCTACCTTGAAAAATGCATCAGACCACGCTGAAGGTTATTTCCATCCAACTAACTCTGTGAAACCAGAAGAACAAGAGTCTACAAAATCCATTTCTTCGCCGGTCAAGAAGCAAGAAAGTGATTTCCTCGATTACAATTTCCTCGACGAAAAAATTACAGATGCGTATGATGATATTTGGAACTGTCCATTTCGAGAGACAGCTGGTTTTAGTTCATCTTCTGGAACTTGGAATGAAAAAAATAAAAATAATAATATTTATGATGATAGAAGCATGGAGCGAAAGACCCAGAACCGTGAAAATGATGGCATGACGCCGAGCAACATTCATATTAGGCATGGAGAGTCATTTTCCCCTGTCTTGAACCATGAATATCTCGGTTCTAAAGCTGATGATATAGAAATCAGTATGAATAGCGAGCCTCGCAATCATGTTGTGCGGACATCTGAATCAGCTGATGCCCCAGCTGATGATATTGAAAGTGAAACTGATCAATTTATGGATGCTCTTAATACCATTGAGTCAGAGTGTGAAACTGATACTGACTGCACAAAAATGAAACTAGTGGAGCATTATCCTGAGCTGGAGGATAAAGCACTAAAAGAGGAAGTAGGTGAGGTCGTACGACATAATCTAGAGTGCCAATCTTCAAGTTCGAGGACTGACATTTTGGCTGAAAGTTCCCTGATCAATGGTATTTGTGATAATAGTCTCATCTCACCATCTCCAAAATCCCATCCCCCAACAAAGTTGGAGGCAGATGAATTTAATTCAGTGTCCCTAGTCGACATGGATGTACAGTCATCTGAAATGGGTAGAGGGTCATTACATCCAGTTAGCCCACAGAGTGTTGATTCTCATGAGAATGAAAGCAGTAATGCTGGCAATATATTAGAATCTGTTTTATGCACTGACATGGATGTACAGTCATCTCAAATGGGTAGAGGCTCATTACATCCAGGTAGCCTACAGAGTGTTGATGCTCATGAGAATGAAAGCAGTAATGCTGGCAATATATTAGAATCTGTTTCATACACTGTATCATCTAACATCATGGATGATCTACCAGAGATGGAGATTTCCAACAACTCTCAGGAACATGTTTCAGAAACTTCTAATGTCATGCCCGTCACATTCTGGACTAATGGTGGCTTGCTAGGACTCCAGCCATCAAAACCACCGGATTTCAGTATGCTAAGTTCTCGTCAAGGTCTTGTGGTTGAGAAAGAAGGAAACATTGGTTCATCTACTCAACATGTTATCGACAGTGACAAAGCAGCTTCTCAAACCGAAATCTTCAAACGTATTGAAAATAATCCAAGTATGGATAGCTCCACAAGCCATGATAACCAAGGAAGCGGCCCATCAGTTACGAAGACACTGTGGAAAATACCGCCTGCTGATTTGGACATTAAAAGCGGGAAGTTATGCGGCCCAATTCATCAGAACAATAATGCCGATATTAGAATTGGATCAACCGTAACTTCATCTCAAATGTTTGAACCAAGCAATACGTGGCTATCCACTGGAGCCAACAATAAGCTACTGTTGGGCGAGAATAGAAAGAACTCCCCTGCAATCCATCACAACACGAATGCTTTTGAGCAGAAAAATCGCCTACCTGTCGCAAATCGTACATTTTGTGGACAAAATAAAGAACTCTTTTCCAGTAAAAGATCCATAAGTTCGCCTTCCTCATCACCTCCCCTTGCGCACATGAAAATATCTTTCCAGCCTATAGACGGTTTCGAGACTTTGAAACTGAAATTGAAATTTCCCGATGCAAGTGCCGAAAACGGCGGTAACACCTTTCCTTCATTTCAATTGGTCCCTGAGGTGTCCATTTCTTGTCAAAATTTCGGTTCAGATTCGGATGTCGACACATTCTATAGATCGTCGCCAGCTTTATCCGATGATTCTCTCAGCAATCGTTGGTCGGAATCGAATTCTGAGAACTGGGAGTCAAGTGAATCCCCAACAGAGAAGGACTGCAATATATACGATGCACTGCGCAGAATATCTGTGTCGACTGTGCTGGATAAGAAGCATGAAGAATTTCCTTTCGTTGAGAATGTGTTGGGAAATACTGGGTGTTGTCATTCTTTTGATCATCGGACTTTTGGGCCCATAAACGACTCGTTGGGGAAGGAATTGAAGAATGATGTTTTGAGTCCGAAAGGTGTTGTGGGCCCGCAGCAGTTTGTGGTTATGCCTGCTCCTCCGCCACCGCCTCCTGTTCAGTGGGAAAAGTCCGAGGAAAGCGCTAATGGCTCTCATTATGAATTCGGTCATTCCCATCTAGCAAATACTGTTTCTCAGCGTAAACCTGCTCCGTTTAGTGAGGATCCAACTGATACCATGCATATGAGGAAAAACAAGGTTTGTTAGTATGTATTTTAGGTTTCCTGACCCTCCCATTTTTTTATTAGTAAATTAAGTTGAGTGGATAATGTGAAACTGTTTGTG